AGCCTCAGGGAGGGGTGGGAGCTGCGGGCAGGGAGCCCGGCCTCCGCCCAGGGCACCTGTCCTCCTCGGCTCCGCAGAGGCAAGAACCCAGTGTTGTTCCAACTGCTGAGTTCTAGAAGCTCCAAGCTTTCTAACGTGCATGGGAAATGTCACACCGTTGGCTCCAGGGATAGCTGCAGCCTGTGGTGCCTGAGTCATCCCGTAAGGACGCCAGTCCAGTCCTGCTGCTCTGCTTGCGATCTGGCCCCCTGCTCCTGTGCCTGGGAAAGCAGCTGACACGGTTCCTGTCCTTGTGTTTCTGCCTACCCGCTGGGATACCTGGATGGAATTCCAGGCTCCCGGCCTTGGCCTTGCCCGGCCTAGGCCATGGGAGCCATTTGGAGAGTGACCCAGCGGATGGGAGGTTCCCATCCCCCTCTCTGTAACTGCCTTTCAAGTAAATAAATCCTTTTGAAAAATTGTGAGCCAAGTAAGCCAGATTTTTATTCTTTGAAGTGTTCTGGTGTTAGCTTTTGTTACAGTAAACATGTTCACCCTTGCCTTTTCTCTGTCACCCCCAGAATACAGGAAGAAGAGAAGCAGAAAAAGCATACTCAGTGCATTCATAGATGAATATTAACCACAGTGGATGAAATTGCCAAGGAGGACAGAGAAATCAAGGGAACTTTGCAAGGTCAGGCAGTCCCCCCCCAAGACCCCAGATGCAGGGAGTTGAGGCATCAGTGGGCAGGTAGCAGGGGCTGCGAGGCTGTGTGGAAGAACCCCACCTCCCTATGCCTTAGACGTGCCCTTCTCACCGCAGGTGCAGCTTCTAGAGGAAATGGGTCCAGCTCCACACCGGGGCCGGTGGCATGGGCAGCAGGCAGGGTGGGAGTCGCCGGGGCTGAGCTTAGAGAGATGGAGTGGCAGTGGCCAGAGCTGGCAGCAAGCTCACTGGCCTTTCCTGGCCTTGCTCAGGCAGCCAGATGTTCCCTGCCAGGAGAGCCAGACAGTGGACCTTCCATCAGAGGCGCCCATGGCCTCCTGGGCACACACCTGTCTGTCACACACAAGCCTGTGGGTCTTCTAATGGACTCCGTTTCAGAGAGGACAGAGCTTAGAGCCACCTGAGTGCAGACAGCCGAAGATAAGCCAGGTGAGTTCGCAGTGCGTTGTGGGGGAGGTGAGAGTCAGGGCGACACTCTGGCAAGCAGACAGGAGGCTCCATCAAAATTAAAAAAAAAAAAAAAGGAAGTGGAGGACTGCAGAGACATTTGCTAGATAAGGCATAAATCAAAGTAGTAAAAATTTCCTTAAAAAGAGGTTGTAGGGGCCTGGCGCGGTGGCCCAAGTGGTTAAGGTCCTCGCCCTGCACGCCCAGGATCCCATATGGGCGCCGGTTCTATCCCGGCAGCCCCGCTTCCCTTCCAGCTCCCTGCCTGTGGCCCGGGAGAGCAGTCGAGGACAGCCCAAGGCTTTGGGACCCTGCACCCGCGTGGGAGACCCGGAAGAGGCTCCTGGCTTTGGACTGGCATAGCATCGGCCGTTGCGCTCACTTGCGGAGTGAATCATCGGACGGAAGATCTTCCTCTCTGTCTCTCCTCTCTGTATATCCGCCTTTCCAATAAAAAAATAATAATAAAAATAAATCTTAAAAAAGAGGTTGGAGACAAAAACTAGTCAGAAAATACAATACAATAGAGCATTAATTCAGCCAGTCCAACAACCAATAGTTCTGGAAAGATGAAATAGAAAAAATGAAATGGTCGGGTGATGTACCGATGTGCCCCCGCCAGGCGCCCCAGCTCCCAGGCGGGTGTGTGCCCCGCCAGCAGGGTGCGCTAACTCCCACCTCTGCTCAGGTGCACCTGTCCTGTCACCTGCGTGGGAGGCCTTGGTGCTGCCCTGGGCTCCTGCTTCAAGCCTGGCCCAGGCATCTGGGAAGCAAACCAGCAGAGGAAAGATCTTTTTCTCTGCCTTTTAAACAAACAAACAAAAATGTTCAAAAACTTAAAAAAAAGAAAAGCTTACCAATGTTCAACTTCACTTAATTTTCACAAAAAACATTTGTAAAATTCAGAACATCACTGAGAAATAGAAAATTCTTTTTTTTTTGGAACTTTTTTTAATTGCAAAGTCAGATATACAGAGAGGAGGAGAAACAGAGAAGATCTTCAGTTCGATGATTTACTCCCCAAGCAGCTTCAATGGCTGGAGCTGAACCAATAAGAAGCCAGGAGCCAGGAGCCAGGAGCTTCTTCCGGGTCTCCCATGTGGGTGCAGGGTCCAAAGGCTTTGGGCGTCCTCCACTGCTTTCCCGGACCACAAGCAGGGAGCTGGATGGAAAGCAGAACATGTGGAGCACAAACTGATGCCCCTATGGGATCCCAACACTCACAAAGGTAAACTAGCTATTTTAGCCACTGGGCCGGGACCCCTTTATGAATAGTTTTTTGAATTATTCATTTGTCTGGAAGTAAGACAAAGAAAAGATCTTCCATTTTCTGGTTCACTCTCCTAATGCCTACTACAGCCAGGACTGGGCCAGGCCAGGACCCCAGAATTCCAGCTGAATCCTCTGCATGGACATCAGGCACCCGTGTGCTTGAGCTATAACCCAGTGCCACCTTGTGTGGGATTTAAAGTTCACGAAGCCCAAAGTTGAATCAGACCCTGGGAGGATGCGTTCAGGCATCCCATACGGGGGCTACCAAAGCCTTCCAGTGTTTAAATTAAATAATAATGATAATAATCATACACCCACACACCCATAAGCAGGACCTGTATATTTTGGAATTAGAAAAAACAGGTAAGCATAAAGAGGAAATTAAAAACCTCCCCACCCTGAGTGGCCTGATCTCCCGTGTCGGAAGGATTAGAAAGGCTCCAGGATTCCAGTCCTTGTACCTTCTGTGAAGTCAAAGGGTGGAGCATGTGAGGCGAAGGCAGTTTATGAATTCCTTAGTTTATTGCAGGGCACATGGGAGCGGGGAGGGGTGGGGGAAGCCAAGGACTGTGTATAAAGGTGGGGAAGGAGCCGGGGTGGTGGCTCGGCAGGCTGATCTTTTGTCTTCAACACCAGCATCTCTTTCTGGGTGCTGGTCGAGGCCATCTGTCTCTCCTCCTCTCTGGAAATCTGCCTTTCTAATAAAAATAAACAATCTTTTTTTTTTAAAAAAAAAAAAGCTCAACATGGTTAGTACTGCCCAACAATCAGTTATTGCAATTAAAATGCCAGCTTACCAAACGTATAACAAAGCTCAACTCCAACCACATTTTACTACACTTTTCAGCACATACGTGAAGGTGTGGATACTTACAATTCACATCAGACTAGGATACTTTTTTTTTAAGATTTTTTTTTTTAATTGGAAAGTCAGATATACAGAGAGGAGGAGGGATAGAGAGGAAGATCTTCCGTCCGATGATTCACTCCCCAAGTGAGCACAACAGCCAGTGCTGCCGCCGATCCGAAGCCAGGAGCAGCTGGAATTAGAACCAGCGCCCATATGGGATCTCGGGTGTGCAAGGTGAGGGCTTTAGCCACTAGACTGCTGTGCCAGGCCAAGGCTAGGATACTCTTTAAAACATTGTCTGTGTCATGGCATAAAGCCTGAATTGCCAGCATACCACATGGGCACAGGTTCTAGCTTACCCACCTCCCCGCTCATGGCCTGGGAAGAGCAGTAGAAAATGGTCCAAGTCCTTACGCCCCTGCCCTCCCCCCCGCCACGGGAAACCCAGAAGGAGCTCCTGGCTCTGGCCAGGCCCAGCGCTGGCCATCATGGCCATCTGGGGAGTGAGCCAGTGCCTGGGGGATCCCCTGTTGTCTAACTCTTTCAGTGTGAACAATCTTTCAATGTGGTGGGACACTGAACAGTGCATTGCATCAGGAGAAAAGCCCTCTGGATCAAAGAAAGGAATCCCATGGTGGACTTCTGGATGTTTCTAAGCACCCCTTCATTCAGATGAAGTTCCTGTGGGGATCGCTGCACTCAGAACCCCAAGCCTAGAGAGAATTGCAGGTTCCATGATCTGGAGTGCAGGCAGCAGAGCTGGGCCTCCTCAGTGGCTCAGACGGAGCAGTGGACAGCATGGCCAGGGGCACATGGAGGCTATGGCAGTGCACCGGAGCCTCCAGAGGACACCTGGTTCCATAACAGGACGGAGGACAGAACAAATTGATCAACTACCCCAGCCGAGCGTTCGGCAAATGGAAACTCTAAGGTGGACTACGTTGGCCAATGGATTCTGGAGAGATTTCATCGCTATTGGAGTGGTGAGATCGCCAGCAGTTCAGAACTATTAAAACTGTCAAAACCTCTTGGGCAGGACCCTCAAAGCGTGCCCCACATGGGGACCCTGAGACGGTTGGAAGGCTGGGTGTGGCTGCTCCCCTTCTCTCCCCGCTTGCCCCAGATACAGGAAGGAAAAGAGAGAATGTGGGGAAACCATGGTCTCACCCACTGTCCTCCAGCCCTCGACCCCCATCCCGCACCATAATCAACTATGCAAAAACCTTGAAAAATAATAAAAAAAAAAAAAAAGAAAGAGGGACCGCTCCCGGCGGGCGGCAGCCCCTGGCACGCGCGCTCCCGGCTCAGTTCCGGGGTCCCGCCGCGAGAGGCCGGGCCTGGGCGGGGACCGAGCCCACCCGCACCCACCACGTGGAGCGGCCTCTTGGGACACGACCCCCCGAGGGGTGCAGCCTGACCTCTGTGGCCCTCGGCCCCCCATGGCAGCCCCGGGCAGCGAGGGGCGGGGCCTGGGCGGGGCCTGGGCGGGGCCTACGGTTCCTCTTTTTGTGTGTGTGTCTGGATGGATCAGCAAAGCTTCCCCTGCGCCTTTAAGAGGCCGACGCAGGCAGCCGATTGGCCGAGACGCGCCGGTGACGTCACGCCGGGGCGGCCCGCGGCCTCCGCCTTCCCGCCGCGCGCTGGGCCGGGCGTCGGTGAGCGGGCCGGGCCGGCGGCCTCCGTGAGCCTCGCCCTGCCCGCGCCGTGCCCGCGCCGTGCCCCCGTCGTCCCCGCGCCGACCCGCGCACACAGCCCGCGGGCCCGGGGGATGCCCCCGGCCGAGGCCCCTCCTCATGGCCGCCGACGTGTTCATGTGCTCCCCGCGCCGGCCGCGCAGCCGGGGCCGCTCGGTGCTGCTCAAGCCCCAGGTGCCCGAGGACGACGACGACTCGGACACGGATGAACCGTCGCCTCCGCCCGCGTCCGGAGCGGCCACCGCGGCCCGGGCCCACGCGAGCGCCGCGCCGCCGCCGTCCCGGGCCGGGCCGGGCCGCCAGCAGATCATCCACAGCGGCCACTTCATGGTGTCGTCGCCGCACCGCGAGCACCCGCCCAAGAAGGGCTACGACTTCGACACGGTCAACAAGCAGACGTGCCAGACCTACAGCTTCGGCAAGACCAGCTCGTGTCACCTGTCCATCGACGCCTCCCTCACCAAGCTCTTCGAGTGCATGACCCTGGCCTACAGGTAGGGCTGCCCCGCGGGCCCCTCGCCGGTGTCGGGGTGCGCGGCCCCGGGCCCCCCTCGGGCTCGGCCTCCGTGGGGAGCAGGGTGCTGGTGGACGGGCCCAGCGGGGTCCTCGCATCGTCCCTTGTGGGCAGTGCGGGTCTTCCGGCTTCTCGTGCGCCGTCCTGGTCCACCCCACCCGGGGGGCCAGCGGGCCGATACTTCTGCTATTGTCCCCTGCCCACTCCCCCCGCCCCCGTCCCACGCGTCCTCCTGGGGTCCTCCCCGCACCCACCCAGGAGGATTGTAAAGTCACAGCTGTTGGAGCCGCAGCCTGCCCTCCTGGCAAGGGGCAGTGTTTGCTGGCCAGACCGGAAACCCTAGAAGAAGGGGTGGCATTTGGGCCGCAGGACTTCTAAGGCCGGAGGTGCGTGGCGCTGGCCCTGCGGGTCACTCCCCCCCGCAGAGTGTGCGTGTGTTGGGTGTTTGGTTCCGGATCCTTGGGCCCTCAGCCACAGGGCTTTGGAGTAGCCGCTGCGGGGATCCCTACGGCATGGCCTGGGCGCCTGCAGGGGTGTCTTAGGTGGCCTCTGCTGGCCGGGGGAGGGGTGCAGGAAAGAGGAAGGCCGGTCTGCGGCCTGTGCCCAGGAGGTGGTGAATTCTGGGGAAGCAGGAGTTGCCCGAGCGGGGGCACGGCCCCGGCTGGAAGGAACCCCACTCCCTGATGGCTTCTTCCCGTAGGGTCAGTCTGTCCCGGGCTCTCTGGTCTTGCCGGTTTGAGCTGGCACCGAGCGTGTAGAGATGTGCTGTTTGTTTAAACCAGTGGTCCTGAGGCGGTGACCCTGTGTGCCCGCAGGCGGGGAGAACGCGCTTGCAGGCCCTGCTGGAGGTGCAGGACTGGAATGCGCTTGATCAAGACATCCTAATCCTCTTTAATTTTCATATAAACTTGCGCAGGGCCAGAGAGAAGGCATGAGGGTGGCCTGGGAGGGTCCCACCTGGCTAGGCGCTGCTAGAGGAGAAAGCAGCCCCTCTCCTGCCTCCCGGCCCTGTGTCGGCCAGCTGAGGCCCATGAATAGCACCAGAGAAGCAATATTGTTTTATTTTTCATTTCTCCCAAACATTTTTGGCAGCTGGCCCCTGCTCACTTAACCTTCTTCACTGCAGAATGCCCCGTCTGGGTTGGTGCAGGTGGTTCCCTGGCCCTCCAGCGCTTGCAGCCCTGCCCACCCTCTCACTCCCCCCGTACTATGCTCCTGGTGTCCGTTTCTGGGGCCGCCCGAGCTCTCCCCCAGAAGGCAGGATCTGCTTGCTGGTTTTTCAAGTAGATGCTGTCTGCCTGGGTGTTAGGCTGGCTTGGACAGCAGTGTGAGACTTTGGGACACATTGACAGAGGGTAACCCGAAGCCAGCTGCCCCGGCAGGAGCAGGAGCCTGTAGCCCAGCAGGAAGCTGGCAAGCCTGGGCTACTGAGCTCGGCCCTCCTGCCAGGGAGAAGTGGGGGTGGGGGCTGCGTGGTGTCGGGCTCTCTCTGTGGTTTCCAGTTCTCTCCTCCCAGCTGGGTCTCCTCTCTGCTTCCGGCCTAGCTTTTCTTTCTAATTTCAACTTCCTGGCTGTCCCCCAGCCTCCCTGGTACACTCTGCCTCTTCTGGTTTTGTTTCCTGTTGACTGTGCCTTCCAGCTGTTTCCAGATGAGGTCCAGCAGCTCTAGGGGGAGGAACTAAGTGCAGAGGAACTTGGGTTCTTTCCAGTCTGAGAAGTGGTTGGGGACTTGGATGTGTCGCTGCCCAGGACTGGCTGGGTGTGGAGTAGGTCACTCAGGACCGGGCTGTGTGGCAATGTCCGGGACTTGCCAGGTTAGGGGCTGGGTTGAGGGGCTTCCCTGCCTGTGATGTCAAATGGCCCTTGCTGGTGTGGCCCCTGGCGAAGTTTGGGTGGTGAGGTGGCTGGCCTCTCACCGAGGGGATGGGGATTCCCTGAGCGTGCGTGTGGTACCCCCTGGTTGGGCAGGTGGGTGGTGGTGGCACTTGGATGTTGCACCTGCCCGCCCGCCCACCTGTGTTAGCACTGTGCCCTGCTGAATGTCTGTGAGCTTTCCAGGGTCTGCGTGACCAGTGCTGAATGGAAGCTCCCTTGATCTGACCCTACAGTGGAGTTGTGTTCTCTGGGATACAGTTCATGCTGCCTGCCCCTTTAACGTTTCAAGGAGTGTCACACGTGGGCACCCTCACAGAGACTCCAAACGCTAGTGTGTCGCTTCGGAAAGGGTTGATTCATTTTACTAATTTGAAAGGCAGGAAGGTTGGTACGGAGCTCTCCTGTCTGTTGGTTCACTTCTCGGATGCCTGCAGCCCCCCTGGGCAGCCAGGGGCATGATCCAGCTCCCCCCGTGGGGTCATGGTGGGTCTGCGCGCACAGGAAGCTGGCATGCAGGGTGGAGCCTGGGAACATGAGCTTCACAAGGCCTGCCTCTCCCGCGCTGCTTTGTGGGCGCTTTTTGTTTCACTTCCTCACGTTTTCGGGTAACACTGAGGTGACTTGCCTCTTGGTAAGAGTGGTCTTTAGCGGGTGTTGGAGGAGTCATTTAAGTAGGAGCCGTAAGGTAGACTTGGGCTGTGGCCACTGGACATAAACCTTGTAGGCTGGTCTTCCGTTGGGGACTGTGTGGGCTTCGTGGGGCGGGGGCAGGGCTGTTGGCAAGCCTGTCCTCCAGATCGGATCTCGCGCACTGGACACAACGTTGGCCATCAGGGGAAGCTATCACGGCAGGGGTGTGCCCAAAGGTGGGGCGGCACAGGTGAAAAGGAGCTCCCAGACTGGGGGTGGGAGTGGGCCAGCTGCACAAGGTGTGAGTCAGGGCTGGCCTGCCGTCTGGCCGGGACCGAGGACACTGCCCTTGCAGGACAGTCGACACAGCGTCTGCGTAGACGGCCTCCCTGCTGTCGGGGTTCCACACATGTCTCCTCTTCTGATGCGGGCCAAAAAAATTAGGGATCCCAGTACCACCAGGAGCTGCGTTCTCTGTCCTCTTAGCACACCCGTATGCTTTGGAACCTTATTTATTTGAAAAGTGGGAAGACATCCCCCATCTGCTGGTTCACTCCCCAAGTGCTCAGAACACCCTGAGTAGGGCCAGACAGAAACCAGGCACTCAGTGGGGGGTTATTTTATTTTATTTAAAAATTTCTATTCCAAAGTCAATTGTGTGGAGAGAAAGAGAAACAGAATTCCAGCAGATGATACACTCCCCAAATGACCACAGTGGCCATTACTGCCCCGATCCGAAACCAGGAGCCAGGAGCTCTTGCAGGTCTCCCACGTGGGCTCAGGATCCCAAGGCTTTGGGCCGTCCTCGATTGCTTTCCCAGGCCCCAAGCAGGGAGCTGGATGGGAAGCAGGGCTGCCGGAATTAGAACCAGCACCCATATGGGATCCTGGTGCCTTTAAGACAAGGACTTCAGCTGCTAGACTACTGTACCGGGCCCTTTTTCTTTTTTATACGGAGCACTTTTACTATTATTATTATTATTATTATTATTAAAGATTTGTTTGTTTTTATTGTAAAGACAGATATACAGAGAGGAGGAGAGATAGAGAGGAAGAGCTTCTGTCCGATGATTCACTCCCCAAATGGCCACAATGGCCAGAGCTGAGCTGATCTGGAGCCAGAAGTCTGCTCCAGGTCTCCCACATGGGTGCAGGGTCCCAAGGCTTTGAATCGTCCTTGACTGCTTTCCCAGGCTACAAGCAGGGAGCTGGATGGGAAGTGGGGCTGCTGGGATTAAAACTGGTGCCCATAGGGATTCTGATGTGTGCAAGGTGAGGAGCTTAACCACTACGCTGCTACCTGGGCCTCTCTTTTATTTTTTAAAAAAGATTTATTTATTTATTTATTTATTTGAAAGGCAGAGTGATGGGCCTGGTGCAGTGACCTAGCAGCTTCTCTCTGTATATCTGACTTTGCAATAAAAATAAATAAATCTTAAAAAAAAAAAAAGAAAGGCGGAGTGACAGAAATGGAAAGAGTGAGGGAAGGACAGCTCCCCTCTGCTGGTTCCCTCCGATAAAGGCCACAGCGATTGAGGCTGGGTCTGGGAGAAGGTACGAGCCAGGAACCCCACCTGATCCCACGCTCAGGCTGCCTTCTGCTGCTTCCCACACAGAGCAGCAGGGCACTGGCTCAGTATGGGGCGCTCACATGCTGTCCCCACACAAGGGGATGTCATTTGCATACCGTGAAGTGCACCCCCTTGAACGTGCAGTTTCACACTTTTTCACCTTTTTCAGGTCCGTTTTTAGGACCTGGTGTCACCTTGATGGGACCTGTGCGCTCAGTTTTCACCCCGCCGCCTCACGGAGCCGCTGAGCCGCGGTCTTGCACTTTGGCCCCTCCTGGATGCCGTGCACACACGGAGTCCTCCAAGGTCTTCCTCTGACATATCGTATGCCAAAGTGCAGGTCAGGCGTGTCGTCGCCTCTGCTGGCTGAGCTGGGTTCCACTGCGTGCCATCCCCTCTTTTGTTCGTCTGTCATTCACAGGCATGTTTTGAGGGCACTCCTGGGTTCTCTGCGATTTGAGCATTGGCTTTCCGGCTGCTGGAATAGTCCTCTGTGGGGTGAGATAGGAACTGCCTTTTAGGGCAAGAATAAGGCAGTGTCTGGACGCATGTGGCAGCATGACAGGCTGAGGGGTGGGAGCCACGAGCCAGCAGGGCAAGTGATCGGCAAAACCTCTCCTAATCACACTAAGGAGAGATTCCAGTCGTGGTCAAAACTTGTTTCTCTTACATGAATTTTTTTTCCCCTCAAGATTTCTTTGTTTATTTGAAAGTTAGTTACAGAGAAATATGGAGGCAAGAGAGGTCTTCTGTCTTCTTGTTCACTGTCTAAGTAGCCCCGACAGCTAGAACTGAGCAGGCTGGAGCCAGGAGCCAGGAGCTTCTTCCTAGTCTCCTGTTTGGGTAGCACTGCTTTTCCTAGACCATTAGCAAGGAGCTGCATCCGGCAGAGGGGCTGGCAGGA